ACCCTTGATCATGCCCTACCAGGCCTCCCACACCCTCCTTACCACCAATTTGGATCACTTATTGTTCCCTTGTCCCTGGGTTTGTTAACACCACTACCTTTCCCCCCACCTCCCTCTCTCCCATTTCCCCCAGAACTGTCGGTACCATTGTTTTCTCCTCCAGATTGTTCATTCAGTCTATCTTATTTAGACAGACCTGTGGAGATAATAACATGCACAAAAATAAGGCAGTGCAAAACCAAGCAACAATATACAACAAAACAGCAACAACAAACCACTGACAAAAAAATCCAAAACAAAACACAAGAAAGAAAAGCTTGTAGTTAGTACGAGGATCATTTGTTGGCCTTATGGAGTGTTTTCCAGTCCAGTCTGTTGGGGCACCACGCTCTGACTCCAAAGTCCATTCGCAGCGTACCCTGGGGACCTCGCCCCTCCGTTCCCTTGCTGTTCTGTTGCACACCCTTAGTGTTTTGCCTCGGTGTGGTGGGATCAGATCGAGTGCAATTCCCACGCTGTCTCCGGTGCTGTCCCCTGTAGGGCCATGAGTCAGTGAGGGGCGTCATGTCTCATAGTGGGGCCGGCCATGTGGTCCTCTCTGTGGACTGGCTGCTCGAATTGGGATCATCGTCCTCAAGGCCTGGTGGGCCAGGATGTGCTCCAGTCTCTCCTCCTCCCCCTTCATCTGCTCCCTTGTGCTCTGATCAGATGTGTCCCTCTCCCCAGCTGCCGATTCAATGCCATCCTTTGAAATAAATTCTTCTGGGGGGAGGGGCAGGTGTCCACTTTGAATCCTTTTTCTCCAGAGTTGCCCAATCTTAACATCCAAGAACAAGTCAAACCTAAACATATAATTTTTCTACTCCATTAAAAACTTCTATGCTTTTCTCCACTCATTCACATTTTTAAATTTTACGGGGGTCTCCACACATATGCCATAATTTTACAATAACATCCTTGCTATTAGAAAAACTAGTGTTTTTGAGCAAATAATTGTGAACTACTTTCTCAATTACTGTAAAATTGAACAGGAGGGGCTTAAGTGGAGAGCAAATGTTTTGAGAATTATGAGGGCAAGGAATGTACAAATGCGCTTTACACAATTGATGTATGTATGGATTGCGATAAGAGTTGTATGAGCCCCTAATAAAATGATTTTTTAAAAAGAAAATTTAAAAATTGAACAGGAAAGAGAAATTTCTCAAAAATAAGTTAATGACATATAGCTTACGTTTCTAAAAGACAATGTCCGTCAAGTTATTATGATGACAGAATTGAGCTGGGCACCTCAACGGGACTCCCCGGGTTCAGACACGGCCACTGCTGTGAGCATGATACAGGAGCAGAGGTACTTAGTGCTGTTGTATGTTGCTGAGTCAGAACTAACCAGACAACACCTACCAACACTGAACCAATAAATGTGTCTTGTAAGGGTGAAATTATGTGGCCGATGGCTGAAGTTTCCTAAATCAAAACATGCCCTGCCATTGGGTTTATTGTAGGTCACTTTCCATTCTGGCACATATTAAAATAATCTCACACAAACACTTAGACAACATTTTTAGCACTAAGCTACTCCAGCCAATAGCATGTGACTCTGCTTTCACAAGTGCCTTATTCAGCTGCTACATGCATTCAGCACGTTTACTGAGCAACTGCCCTGTATCCTGCAACACGAGAAGTACTGACAATAAAGGTAAACAAACCGTGGTCTTAGTTTTAAGGAGCTCATAGCCTGTCTCATGGATTCTGTAGTATTTTAGTTCCTGGAGAGAATGAGTTCACTGCTAAGGCTTACAGGTTCATTATGAAGACCAGGACAATTTCTCATGCTTGTCAACTTTTTGCCCACCAAATCGGATGCTCCGCTCTTTTTACTTCTGCATAAGCCATGTATCCTCGGTTTACAGGTTGTTTTTAAATTTGTGATGTGGTATAGATGGAAAGCACAGCATACTTTGTCTGGTAGTTGAATCTATTTTAAAAACCTGGTCTGTCTATTGGCCGATGTGGGGGACGAAGGCTCTGTCTCTAAGTCCCTCCAAGTCCTGAACAAAACACCGACAACACATACACATTCACTCCTCCTGTCTACACAGCCAACTTTTCCTCTATTCTGGAGTTTCTGCTATACACTTTTACTGTATCCATTTCCAAAATTGAATTAATTTGGACATATTTCCACTCTGACTCAGTCGTGTGATTTTACTTATATAAAAACTTGGGTAAGGGAACGAATATATGCCTCAGAGAGTATTCCTGACATTGTCGCTTGTAAATGAAAACTGATCCCCTGCACTTAGTGACCACTGCAGCGTATCTGTAGTGTAAAGGAACGATCACCATGACAACCCCTTGGCCCTATGTACTGAGACTACTCAAAGGACAAGAGAGCCTCACGTCCAGAAAATTATGGTGTCTACTCTCCCATTCTCCATTTCTTTCTCCGCTGATATTTGTGCATATTCATAAATCTTGTTCTAGGAAGGAAAGTAACTTATCTAAAAATGTAGTCGTAAATATAGCTATATATTGGAACAAATTTTAGATGACCATACTAAAAATAAAAGTGCCTGGTGCTAGAATGTTGTTTCTTCAAGGAAAAAAAAATATTTTATCTGATGATGTAAAAACGTAAACACAGATCAATATTTTTTACATAAAATAATATCTCGCTAAGGTTAATAGATGACTTGTTGGAGCTCCATGAACAGGAAGTGAGTGTGTTTTTCTGCACATGGTTGCGGTGAATATCACGATCCTGGGCCATAATCTGTATGCTGGAAACAGAAGCTTGTCAAAAAGCCTGTGAAATTCAGCTTAAGTTTGTCCCCTTTGATTTTATATGGGATTTTTTTAATAAAAGAGGCAGCATTTCTAGTCTCCTTTTAGATCATATTGCTTCTGTATAATAGTTTTATTGGCAGATATTTCAGATACCACACAATTTTATTGTCCAATCATATTAATATTATTGCAATCACCCCCACATCAATTTCAGAACATTTGTTCTCATACTCATTGTTGTTAGCTCCCCATGCCCCCGCATCTTCCCTTCCCATGCCCCTCCAGTTATTGTCTCCTTAGAGCTACCTATCCTGGGTTTCATGTACAGAAAAATCATCATATTGCTTTTTACTTCTCAATTATTTTCTGTGTGACTTTTAAAAAATTAAAATTGCATTTTGAAGCAACACAGCACGAAGTGGCAGTCAAAAGGTAGATCGTTCATACGGGAGCGAAATTTAAATTGGAGCCCAGATAATTTAAATTGTGCTTCATTCTGCCCAGAAGCTGAAGTCAACATACCCAAAACTGTTGTCAGTTTGCCCCTGTTCTCTCAGTTGACCCCTAAATATTAAGATGAATTTCTATGTCCAGTGAGCATTTAAGGAGGTTTCTCAGCAAACAGATCTCAAGATGATTCTTATTTCCATTTAGATGTTTCCTCGGCAACCTGGGACCCCTGGTATGGCTAGCTTGAGCCTTGAGGTATGTGCTACCGAGTGTTCACATATGATCTTGACATTGGGATGGTCCTGAAAAGGGAGAAACATGACAGGTTGTTTCTCAGATCTTCCGGTCAGAGTCTGCAGCTGATACAATTTATTAGAGTCTCTTCTCACTGCTATTTTAAACGGAAATGTTTTGATCCTTAAAATGTCATCTATACATGAATCAAATAAATAGCAGGTATTAATATCTACATAATGCACATTAACGTGGAACCCTGGTGGCACACTGAGTGGCAATGAGTCAGTGGGTTATATGTTCACATATATATTACCTGGATTAGCATAATTACTGCATTCAGTAAAATATAATTCTATTGATTATATTTGCTATATATTACATTTTGCTATATCCATTTACTATATGTTTACAAGCAATATCGTTACTTCACTCAGTAAACTATTGCTGTTGTCACAAATTGTTTATAGTATCGTAGACGGTGAACTCCCATGAAGAAAATGTGCTGGTATAATGTTTGCTTGTAAGGGTTCTTTTTAAGGAGCTTTAACTTTGGACTGTGTTTCCCGCTGCACAGCCTATGTCTGGCTTATTGCAGTTCTACGAAGATACATTCTGTTTAGAAAACCCAGCAAAGTGGATATTTTTAAATAGATATCAATAGAAAATATCATCGGCTATGAACAGAAAAAGGTACAAGATTACAAATTCTTCCCAAGGCCTTCCAAAATGTTCCTGCATCCTGGAAGGCAGTCAATACCTGCTCTGGCTAGTGGCTTACATCATCTGAAAAGAATGTCAGCGGCCTTTCCTCACTTTGCAGCTTAAACACAGTCCAGCCACTGGCTATCTTGTCCCGTTAAAGGTGAAACTGACTTCTGTTGAATTGAGGGCTTCCTTGACAATCTATCCAGATACTTTACAATTTTTCTAATGTTTTTTTGTTTACTCTTTTGAGAACTGTTTTATTTTTGAAGGAGGTGGAGATTGTTTTGTTTCTTTTTTTTCCCCAGACTTATATTTGGGCTGAATTTGCAACAGCCAAAGTAAGTTAAATGGGAGGAAAGGGGACTCAAAGAAGCAAAGTCCTCGCAATCACACTCCTATTTCAGTTTGATGAACTATTTTCATGTATTTTGGTGTAATCCCCGGCCCCGCTATCCCCCACCACACACACACACACACACACACACACACACACACACTTGAGTGGTACTTTCTTCTTTTATTAGAGCAGTTCTCAACCTGTGGGTCGCAACCCCTTTGGGGGTCGAACGACGACCCTTTCACAGGGGTCGCCTAAGACCATCGGAAAACACATATTTCTGATGGTCTTAGGAACTGAGACACCGCTCCTCTATCCGTCTCCAGGCGGGTCCGCCCACATGCAGATACGCCCACATCTGAGTACCAGTCATGAAGACTGTTACCCACGCGTTACCCACGCTACACCATGGTTCAAGACAACATTTCATTTATTTGTAATTAGAAATAAATATTTCACAATATAGAATTACATACCGTTTTTGTGAGTCATCACTATGCTTTAATTATGTTCAATTTGTAACAAGGAAAATACATCCTGCATATCATATATTCACATTATGATTCATAACGGTAGCAAAATTATAGTGATGAAGCAGCAACAAAAGTAATTTTATGCTTGGGGGGTCACCACCACATGAGGAACTGTATTAAAGGGTCACGGCATTAGGAAGGTTGAGAACCACTGTTTTATTTAGTAATAAAAAGTAAGTTCACTATCTTAATGGTAGTAATAATAATGAAATTGTTATAATATTATAATAAAAATAATTGTTGTTACCTTGCACAACATTTAACATTTTCACTTTTTCGATAGTCATGTGTATCTAGTTTTATTTTATTCAAATTTTCCCACTTCAATTTTTGTGCTAAAAATGGAATTTGTTAAGAAATCAATGAAAAGTCCAAACAAAAAAGAAAAATGCATGGCAAACTAACCCACTTTTTTTCTTCATAGACAATGAGACAGTTGGGAAGTTTGCAGGGATTAAACATCCTTCCTCAGGTAACCATTATGTTCCGATATTCCTGATTACAAATATGCATAGTGGTGGTGATAGTGACATTAGCAGCAGCATTATAATTCATAAATTTTATTTGTTAACAATATTCTGAAAACAAATGAATAATTGAAGTAATTGGGATAGCCTAGAACAAAATAAAATCCTAAAGTGAGGTGACATGGAAAACTTAAAACTATATTAAATTTTATTTAAGAGAAATATCCTTTCTTGGATTACCAATTTATTACATTATCAAATATAGGAGTATTTACAAAGCTAAATCATTAGCAAGCTCATGTGACTCAGAATAGAATATAAGACTACTAAGAGAACATTTGACTATCATCTATATAAAATTAACTAATAACACTCTTACTTTTCCTATCTCTGCACTTTTGTGATTTTTTTTAAATGAACACATTTAGGCAATATTGAAATATACACATGTCTTAATCTTCCCCACCCCCTGGCTCCTATGTCTTCAGTATTCTAGATTTGGCTTTGGGAAATCTTTCAATTCTCTCTGGATGCATGGTCTCCTCCCACCACATTCCTCTTTCCCCTGGATGCGACCAAGGGAACATGAAACTCAACAGGTATGTTTGCATCAAAGTTTTTTAAACTTTTGACTTCAAAATGTCCCCCTATTTGCTTTCTCTATATTGATGATTCAATGGTTGGATTCTTATCTTCCACACTGGAGAACCTAGGTTCAATTCCTGAACAATGCCCCATTATGTACATTGCTATGATTCTGAACAGGGTTCAGAAAAGCTTCCAAACGAAGACGGTCTAGGCAAAAAGGCCTGATGATCTACTTCTGAAAATCACCCAGGGAGCAGTTCTACTCTGTCCCCCAGGCTCATTAGGAATCCAGATCAACTCGATGGCAGTGAGCTGACTGGTTGCTTGCTAGGGGAGAATAGAGGAGGTGCAATGACAAACTCTTACCAGGAAATTCAGATGAGGTAGTCCCTAAGGAGTTTGGAGGGTGGACATACGCAAACCTTTCTAAATTGCATGGTGTTCCAACCTCTGCTATTAGTCAGGTACACTATCAGGACTCCCTAGACCAGCGGTTCTCAACCTGGGATTACCTGATTCATAACAGTAGCAAAATTACAGTTATGAAGTAGCAACAAAAATGATTTGATGGTTGGTGGATGGGCGGTGTCACCACCACCCGAGGAACTGTGTTAAAGTGTTGCGGCATTAGGAAGGTTAAGAACCACTGCCCTAGACAATACTCTAAGTAACTTGGTATTTTATATATAAACTCAAGTTCCCTGGCCCACCTTCCAAGTAAAATCACCCCAAAACTTTTGATTTAGAAATGCTAGACACCACAGTTCAGTAAGCCGTAAGCTCCGGATTCTCTTTTTAAATGTCTTTACAGTACGAATACTCTTTGCCTGTTCATCCGCCACCTCTACCCTCACAGCAGTCCCTACAGCCTCAGCAGTCTGGGCCGAAACCTTTCCCTGTGCCCACTGATGCAACTGCCATCCAAGACCCAGCCCAGAAGGCTGGGCCACAGCCTCCAATTCACCTAGGCTTTCCGCCGTTGCAGCAGGCTGAATCACCAGCGATTCTGCAGCAGGTGGCACCATCAGAGAAGCCACCCAAACCGGAGGTAATTACTTTCTTTCTCTAAGGGCAGAGCAGAATCACCCGCTTAAGTAATGAAAGAAAATCAATTTGTGGATGCATTTAAGTAATCACAGCCTTCAGGCATAGTGCCCCACAAGACAAGTGTGTTTTTAATCTGCCTGACAGATGTGGGACTTGTTTTGGAGCTAGGACATTAAACACCCATTCAGTCCTTTGCCATCGGAAATGAGGTATATATTCTAAAAGAGCTTGTGCCTCTAAAACATGGGTTATGAGTTGCAAAAATAGAGGATAGCTTTCAGGGAAAGCACAAGAGACCAGAAATGTCCCGGCGGCATATTATTGGTCTCTTTCAGCACTGGGAAAGCTGAAAAAGGCGCCTGAGGTCTTAGCCCAGCAACTAGTGTTTTGTATTATTCTCTCTCTCTGTCTGAGCATGAAGAAACCAACTTTGCAGAAAGCACACAGCAAACATGCAGGGACTAAAGCAATGGACAGAAAAAGAAAGTCCCACCTAGTAGTGTGCAAGTCCTTAACATCCCCCTGTAAAATCCTGATGGTAAACTGAGGCGCATATAGTTTCCAAACTATGCTCAGGGTTACACAGAAAGGTAGCAGCAGAGACAGAGTCCAGTCTAGTGTGTCCCCGTTCCAAAAGTCATGTATTTCCGTCTGCAATGGAAGGAGCCCTCATCACCCGTAAGTCAGCACTGAAAAGAACGTTGTACGTTGAGTCATAACACCAGTCACACCAAGAGGAAAAAAAACTCAAAGATAAATTGGAGAGACTCATCCTTGATTTTATTATAACTTTTCATCGTAAACCAAGACTCCAGTCCCTGGAAAAGGCTATCATGCCTGGTAACGGCGAGGGCCAGTGAAAAAGATGGATGGGCACAGTGGCTGCCGAGACGGGCTCAGACATAAGAACCATGGCGAGGATGGCACAGGCTGGGCAGTGTTTTGTCCTGTTGTGTGGGGTCGCGATGAGGCAGAACCACGGTACAGCACTGACAGCAACAGCAAGAGACGCCTTTCCTGATCAGTCATCAGGACTGCACGGAAAAGATGGCAAACAAACCGTAAAACATGGTCAGCCTGTGCTCAGGTCATTTTGTCTACTTTGGTCATTTTACTCTTTCTCTGTGATCTAGTTACCTGGATTTGATTTTGCTGGCCCACAAAGTCCATCAGTAAGTACAGATTTCAACACTTTCTTGGGAAAAGACTTTATTTCTTCCAGCATATAAGGGAAATTTCAATCATTTTTTAAAAATCTAATGAGCTTTTTAAATTGTTCTTTTACATATTAAGTCTGCTAAAAATGTCTTTTCTATAATTCCTGGAGATTAATGTAATGGGCTTTATGTTTATGGCAAATATGAATCGCTCTGTCAATTTCCTACCACTCAAAGATATTCCAGATTGCCCGTTTGATATCTCAAGGACCAGTGCCGCCAAACAAACAGTCACAGTCGCCAGTAAGTTCGCCCACTTCTCTGCAATGTCCTTAAAAGTCTTTCTCCTGGGAAATGCACTTTATGATGACTTCTCTCTTTATGTTTAGCTTTATCCAGGAATGTTTTACATGTCCTATGGAGCAAATCAATTGGTAAGTGCCCGTTCTATTGGAAATGTCATTTTTTTTATTAAACGTTTTCTTAAGAGCTAAAATGACAAAATTCCAGAACTCACACCATATATCACAAATAAATATGTTCTGAATGCTTAAGCTAGCAACTGAAATGTCAAGGAGGTACAGCTCCTATTTGAAATATTCTGAACACACACCGGCATTAATGGAAATATTTTATCTAAATCATACAAATGGGCTGCAATTAGTCAATAATCCTTCTCCTCTCTACTCTGTCTCTGAAACCTGCATTAATAGTAAGATTAAGGGAAAGCTAAAGGATTTTTCCTGTTGCCTTAGTAGCTTAGAAGGCAGCTTGTTCAAAATCTGATGTAATGTTTCTTTTTTAACAGAACGCCCCTGGCAGACTCGGCATCATGAGCTCAGAAGAAATGGCTGTAAGTAACTGCTTCAAATGCTTCTCCTTAAAATGGCAGCCAGAGAAGGACAGTCACAGGCTTGGGGCTCCAGGAGACACTGGCCATGTATTACAGCCCAATATTGGACAGGCTTTTTCCACATCGAAACCAAAAGCAAGACTCCAAGGCAGCAGCTAAAGAGTTCATCACAGTTCGGTGCCGTCATATACGAGGGAGGACCATTCTTGAGCACGAAGTTAAATTTGAGAAGAACACCACAGAACCTCAGTGCTTACACTTTGGATAATAGATACAAAGGAAAAAGTCCTTTTTTTTTTTTCTTTAAAACTAGAGTCTCTCATAAGCAAGTTTCAGCCTATTAGGTTAAAAACAGAAATGCCCATTAGTTGATCACCGCTTTTCCTTCATGATAGGCTGCTGCCTGGAAGTGAACTTGTGGCATGCTTACCAGCACTGGTTTTGCCCATCACTCGTATATGATCACAGGATAAACCTTTCCTGGTCTCACATTTTTTCACAGCCAATGTTTCAAACCAAACAAAAAATATGTCATTCCCATTCCCTCTCAGGCCACTTAACCCCTCACAGCAGCAAATTCCACCACGTGGCAAATAATTCAGACCTCAATACTTCTAAAATAACCAGTGGAACATTACCAAATTTAAATTTGGGCATTGTAACATTCAAGATGCATGACAGGACAGTGATAGTGTGCTCTTAGCTTGTTATCATTATCTGTGATACATACATATTACAAATGTAAGATCTGAAATCAATAGACCTGCACAGTTTTACATTTTCTGCTGGAAATTGCTAGCTGTTATATTGGTGAGAATTCAAACTGAAACAAAGGAAAAACCATACTCAATTAATGAATCACTATCAACTGAAAATGCTACCCAATGAATCATGAATAGACATACCCATATGCTACATACTGGGAGGAAGCACCATCTCACTATCTTGTAAGTACCTTCGTGTCCTGGGAACACAGATGCTATTCAGACAAGCTAAATAAGCTAAATATAAGTGTCCTGTTTTCAAGATGATTTGTCTAATCCATGGGAAGGACAGGTACAAGGGCAAATAGCATCACAATGGTGTGAGGTGAGTCACAATAAAACTAAGAAAAAGAGACTGCATGGCAGAGTTCACAGCGAGTTCCCTGGAGGGGATGATGTAAAAACTGAGACTTCCTGAGTGAAGGGCTAGGAGAGAGGAGGAGGAAAGGGTATTGTGCCTACCTAAGACTGATGAGAATTCGAAATTCCAGGACTTGGAAATTATCGACTTGTAATTCTAATTTATTTACATTACGCTTGGTAAATTTTTAAAAACGCAATGTAAATATCACAAAAATCTCAATAGAATGAGTCAAAATTGTAAATTCAAGTCTCAGTTGCCCTGTACAATTGCTGTTAGTAGCTCATCTGTGATTTTTGGTCCAAAATTTCTAGCAGCAAAAAGGAAGGAAATGTGCTGAATCCTAGAATTCTAACTGATCACAGGAATAAAATACTTCATTTCCCACATGGAAATTGAGGTCTATTCAAGATAGATGATAGATAGATAGATAGATAGATAGATAGATAGATAGATAGATAGATAGATAGACAGATTATTGATTCTTACATGTGACTTCGTTTGCGGAATAACGAGAAATGCCATTAACAAGACCCTCCCACCCATCCCTCAACAAGCTTTGCTATGGATTTCATTTGGCTAGTTTTATGATGACATTGCCCATTTCAGCTGTCAATTATTTTTCTGAAATTAAATGTACACTAACTTCTGCCCGGGGTCTGGGCATGGCCCTACCCTCGGTCCCACGCAGACGCGGTCAGGGGCTCCCTCTCCCTCCCACAGAAGTAGCTTCCAACACCCACAAAAGCACAGACTCTCCGTGGTCAGTTTTCAAAGTCCATTTAAAGAGCAATGCGCTAGAGCGAAGCTATCAGTCACCTCCTCGTCCTCTGCCAGGTTGTACCATTTCTCAGCATCTGGGACCGTGCAGAGTTGAATGGTATAGTTGTGATGCGTGGTGATGGTGAAATTTTGTTTGGGGTTTTCCCTTAGGGAGGCCGAGGTGGTCCCATGGCCTATGGAGCAATGTTTCCAGGATTCGAAGGCATAAGGCCCGGCTTCGGGGGGATGCAGCCTAATCAAGGCAAGGGCGGTGACTTCACGCTGGAATTCGACACTCCATTCGCGACCAAAGGACCTGAGAAGGGGGAAGGAGGTGCCCATGGTGCCCCCATGCCAGAGGCCAACCCAGCCAATGCCGAAAACCCAGCCCTCCTTTCAGAGGTAGCGCCCGGTGCTCACGGAGCGCTTCTTGCTTTCCCTAAGGGCCTCTTCCCCAGCCTGGCCAGAGGCCCTGCAGGGCAGAGCCGAGGACCCCTCAGGGTCACTCCAGAAGTTGCTGACCCCATGGTAACCCCAGGATTAGCTGATGTTTATGGGACCTACGGTGCTGACATGACCACACCCCTAGGTCTCCAGGGAGAAGGCACTACAGATCCCACCATGACCCCAGACGTTTCTCAAACATCGGCGCAGGGCAACAAGGCTGAGCAGCCCCCGAATATGCACAAGGGGTGGCATTTCCAAGAGCCCTGAAGGTGTTGGGATACTAGCTATGTCTTGTATACGCAAGATTCTCAGCTTTGTCCCCATAGTGTATCTTTTTGCTAAAACTATTATTAACCCTCTGCAGCAAAAATATTCATAGTATCCAAACGAATGTTAGTCAATAAAAAGTGGTTAACAGGAGCGTAGGCCTCCTTCTTGCTTTTGTTCTCTTATGAAATAAATGTGTGCGTTGTCTCTGTGATTTAGGGGTGAGTTTAAGGGTCTCTGAATTTCATCATCAATGCTGTGTAGCTGTCAGGCATTAGAGCATTTCTCTTACTAGTATGGCCCCGTGTAGCCACCAAATGTGACACTGCTTTAGAAAGTTTTCACTAATACAGACACATAGTCTCAGAATTGTAAGCTATGTCATTCAAACTCTATTATAGTAGGGATGTGTGCAGAACCCTTGACTGGTATTACTGGGTCTGGTACATTGGATTTAAAAGCTTTGTTTGTAGAGTGTTTTATTTAATCTAGCAAAAATCACCTAATCTATTTTAAATAAAGAATTTTTCTCACTGAAAATACCAGAAATTGTATGCTTATTATTTATATACATTTAGCTGGTTAAGAAAAGCATTCTTATTCCCACCTTTACGGCTCTTTTACTCTTTCTGCTATAGTCTTTCTTTCATCAGCAGTTTATTGAGTGTTCCCTGAGGTCCTGGCACTATTCTAGGTATTGGGGTTATAGCCCCTTTCTCCAAAGAGCTGTCAATGAAGGTGACAAGTTTACAGACCATCACAATAATAACAACAGTCACTCTAGGCCAGGTTCAAGCATTTTATACATATGATTTCACAATACTACCACAAAACATATCCCCCAAGGTGACAGCATATTGGGGTGGGCAGGGAAGAGAATCACTGCTGTCAAGTCCATAGCAACTCTACAGGACAAGATAGAAATGTCCCTGTGAATTTCCAAGACCTGTAACAGTTCATGGAAGGAGAAAACCCCACCTTTCTCCTGTAGAGCAGGTTGGTGGTTTTGAACGGCCAACCTTGCAGATGCCAGCTCAATGCTTAACCACAACACCAGGGCTCCATAAGTGTGAAAAGCACTATGAAAATGCCAAGCACAGGATGCCCTTGAAACAAGACAGAAGGGGATTCTAACCCAACCGAGGGAGCATCGCAGGTGCTGGACAGAGTCAGGCAAGTTTTCTCAGCACGATATTAAAAGCATTGCAGGATGAGGCCGCCAAGTGGATCCTGCGAAGGAAGAGCGTGAAAGAAGGTTCCCCAAAGCAGCCCTCAGATACTGCCCTTCAGTAGCAGTGTGATGAAAAACACAGACAAACTTGGGTTTGAACTTGGACATCATATCTTACCACATCCGAGACTTTCCAGGTGAGATTTGACTCTCGGAGTCTGTGTTTTCTTTGCACGAGAGGGTTAAGACTTACCTTGCCAGGATGTTGTGAGACCGAGTGAGAGAAGGTTCACAGATGCTGCTGCTCAGTCACAGCACGGTCCTTCTTTACCAAGGGATTGTTTCACCAAGGGCACTTAGCAAAGTAACAACTGATGAATGGAATGTTCGGTGATCTAATGAATCTATGAATCTATTGGGTCCAATGAATCCATTCCCGCTCCACACATTGCCCTTCTGCTCCTTCTTTGTAATACAGAGTCCATGCTTGTGAGACGACCAAAGACTGATGACCCTGGTGAATGTATCCAATCAGCTGCTGAGTTGGCCTCTGCTATTAGCAGCCTGGCCGCATGATCGTGGTGACAGCTGGATCAACTCTGGTCATGGGAATATTATGTTGTGGAGCCCACACATAGCCTCTTCCTCTTACAAGAACCACTCCGAAACTGACCCAAAGAACAAACATAAAGGTGGTGGGGGAAAGCGACTAAATGTCACCCACGGCGGTGGGTCATCTTGATGCTTTGGGATTTCCTCCACTGTGGTTGCCCTCCAGTGGTCATTTGCATGTGATAGAAAGCTCCAGACTATGTCCCCTTCTGAGAGGGCTATCTAAATAGTCCTCTATTTGGATAAATCAAAAAGCATTGCTACGAAGATTCCAGTTCATACCTGCACAGGCTTGTTCCAAGCAAATAAATATGTCTACATGTGTCCCTTTGATGAATGGATAGCTACAGGCCAGTTTTCTCAATCAAACACTCGTCTTAATTTTGTTAGGGTGCCTTTAAAACAAGGGTGTTTTTTGTGCCATGGGGATAGGGGGAATGACTTTGAGTCCAGGGCTACTGTGCAATGAATTATGTAATAAGGCTGTTGTAGACATCATCTGAGCAACTCCCATCAAATGACTCTTTCCCTGAGGCTTCTGGATAAGAGATGAGAAGGAACGTCACTGAATGGATTGTTATATTATTCAGTTGTGAGTGATTGCTAGCGGGGTTAGTTGTGACTGTCATCTTGCTGGGCATAAAATGAGCTATTGCAGAACCAGAAGAGACGCTCTCACTACCAGCAAGAGAGAAGAATCACGAGTGGAAATATATTCTTTAGACCCCCAAGACCCCTGTACATTGAACCTCTTTGATCCACAATACATTTGTAACAACCAGAAGGGTAACAGAGACGTGGAAGAGGAGCAGCAGTCACAGAATCGAAAGTCAGAGCATGCGACAGCGCAGTGGCATTCCCAGTGCGTGGAGCACGCACAGGTGAGGGCCTTAGGCAGAAAACTGGCTTGTGGAGTGATGAGCCTCCAAGTATTTAATTAGGGGGCTGACCCACAGGGCTAGAGCTGCGCACCCTTGGGCTGAGGCTTTGGTGGAGTAGCATACCCTCAGACATTTATTGAAAGCCCTAAAAAAGCTTTGTAACTTTGCCAAAGCAGGACAAATGCTAATCGGCTGGGTTTCTGAGAGGCCAAGGCCCGGAGACAGACCTACCTGCAGGAGCACCTTTATAAAAAAAAAAGGTGGGGGGGAGTTGTCCTATTCAAATCCTGAAAATTTGTAAAGGAGCCCTGGTGGCACATAGTGGTTGTGCTTTGAGCTGTTAGAACCACAGAGTTGGATTGTTTAACACTACCAGCCACTTGGAGAGAGAAAGATGAGGCTTTCTGTTCCTCTCAAGATGTACAGCCTAGAAACTCACAGGGCCAGTGCTGCTCTGTCCTATGGGATTCCTGCGTCAAAATCAACTTGATGGCCGTGAGTTTGAGTTTGGAGCATTTATAACCTGTTAACGTCCCAAATAGATACCACAATTGTGAGTACGGTCTGGGAGTTCTGTGTGGCCATTGCAATGACTTTTGTAACCCAGCATGGACTGTCTTGGGAGGGACAGTTGTCAGAATCGGGGAGGAAGGGGAAGGGAAGGCCTGACCTCAGCCTCATAGGTATTAGCCTTGGTCTGCTGGCACTGATGATGGTGAT